ATGGGGGATGACTGAGATTTGCTGGAGACAGAAGATGGGGGCTTGGACACAGAAGATTATAAAATGCTTGCCATTAGCTCACTTACTATGCATGGGATCATATAAGAAGCTTCCCTACCAATTGGAGTTGCAACCTGAGGATCTGATGAAAACTAGCGGTTCACATTCCCACACTAGAAATCAATATTGTTCTTCTAATTCCAAGAGTTTCAGAGAAACTTTCTCCAATACCTATCTGAAGCACAGGCTTCCAAACAGCTCTTAGTAATAAGGAAAGAGATTCTTATTGTGGTCTCTAAGGCTCTGTAAGATAGATTCTGCCTGTATCTCTAGTCTCACATCTGTCCTCTTTGCATTTTTCACCCAGTCACATTGGCCTCTTTGCTCAGGTCCTTTCCTCTTCCTAGCATACTACCCCCTTACTGTCTTCACTTGAGTAGGATGTTTGTTTACGCTCACTTGGATAGACTCTTCCTAAGAGTAGGGCATTGTCTACCCTTTGTCACTACTGTATTGCACCTGGCATAGAGCCTGGCCTACAGTAAGTCAATCCCAACAGTCCCCTTAATTCTTTCCTCTCTTCATCTCCTGGTGGGTCATCCACATGACTCTCTATAATATGCTTAGAGATGTCTAAATTCCAAAAATAGCTACATCTTAAAGTATATTTTCCTAGAATTCTTCTCCTGTCCCTGAAACCAACCCAGACTTTTCACAGGCCTCCCCATACTTTCTTGGGAGAAGGGTGAGATTCTTGAGCTTAAATATAAACTCTTTTTTTTTTTTTTGCCCATATTAGCAACTTGCCTTCACTCTGGCTTTTTGCTGGTTAATTGGAAATAAGAGTTTCTGCCTTAGAGAGGCACTGGTGGCTCACACCTGAAATCCTGGCTACTCAGGATGCTGAGATGTGAGGATCATGGTTCAAAGCTAGCCCAGACAGAAAAATCCATGAAGACGCTTATATCCAATTAACCACCAGAAAACTGGAAGAGGAGCTATGGCTCAAAGGAGTAGAGCCTTGATAGGAGGCTGAGATCTGAGGATTGCGGTTCAAAGCCAGCCCAGGCAGGAAAGTCCGTGAGACTCTTATCTCCAATTGACCACCAGAAAACTGGAAGTGACACTGTGGCTCAAGTGGTAGGGTGTTAACCTTGAGCTGAATTGCTCAGGGGCAGTGCCCAGACACAGAGTTCAAGCCCCACGACCTACCCAAAAAAGAGGGGGGGAATATAGCCTTGAGCAAAAAAGCTGGGGGACAGCACCCAGGCCCTGAGTTCCAAGCCCTACAACTGACAAAGTTTCCACCTAAGCTGGCTCTGAACCACAATCCTTAGATCTCAACCTTCTGAGTAGCTAAGATCGCAGGCATGAGCTACTGAGACTCATCATGGCACACCTGGTTTCACTGAACCCTAACAAGAACCTGTGAGATGGTTATTGCCACTCCCCATTCACAGACGAACAGTTTCAGAGGGGCTGCACACCTAAAAGGTTGTACCCAGCTCAGCCAGGCACCAAAATGGAGGTTCTTGGCATTACCAAAGAGGAGAACTAGGGATAAAATTGTTGCCTGATGTCATACAACATCACCATTTGAGCCAGAACTTGAATTTTTGTCTCTCAATCCCAGCCAAGCCAAGAGGGAGATCTGGGCCAGAGGTTCCACTCTTATGAAATACCTACAAATGAGCTCAAGAAGAAGCTGCTGTGATAGCAGCCCAGCTTGGTTAAGGGGGACCTGAGAGCTTGTTTAAGGAATAAACAAAGCAGGGGCAGAGGCCAGAGCCCTGAGAGCCAGGCATTAGGAAGTGGGCAGAGGGAGAAGAGGCCACAAAGGGCCCATAGATGCCAACCTTGTGGTGGTCTGGAGGGCCTCTCTTGTTCCACAGCTTTGGCTTACTTCAGATGAACCAGCTGCCCCCGGCAGGGAGGCAGGAAGGCTGGCTTGTTGCCTGTCAGCTCCTATTCCTTCTAGATCATTGCCCCCCTGGCCCCTCCCAGGGCTGCCTTCTGCTCGAAACAGCCAGGGGCCTAGATTCTAGAGCACTAAAAAGATATGATTCCCTGAGCTGGATCAGTGGTCCTCTTCAGGAGACCTGCATCCCTCCAACCCTAACAATTCTCTCCTTTCTCCAGTGCCACCCAGAGGGAGGACAGAATGTACTGGGGGAGGTCAGCAGGGAGCCAGGGCACCTGGATCTGACAGGCTGTGTGGATGTGAGTGACACTCTGCTCCTTTCCAAGCCTCCATTGCTCCCATCTGCAGAACCAGGCCTTGCTCAATTATAAATGACCTGTCTTTTGATTTGACCTTTTCAGGGATCATTTTTGTTAGCTACATTTTAGAAAAACAACACAGAAAAAAGGCTGAGAGCTTATTGCAGTGATAAGGAACATTGGCTAAGGCTCCATCTTGATAATCCCCAAATGGATGGTTTGAATTTTATTTGATATGGAGTATCCCAGGACACTTTCTAAAAGTACTCTCTAATCCTCATGGGAAGGTGTTTGTGCAAAGCTTCTACTGAGAGGGTTTCTAAAGTAGGGATATGGCTGAGAGGGGTAGATTTCATTTGGGAACAGCCAAACTAGTTCTTCATCATGGGGTTCTGCCACTAATACTAAACCTCTCAATTTTCCCCACAGGAGAATAGGCATAGTGACACAAAGTTGTCAGGGTGGGACAAGTTGCTTGGGAAGATTCCCTTAGTGTTACACTTAGGTTTAGTTCTGAGGAGTGACTGTGAGCTTCCCTTCCTCTTAAGAGAAGTTCCAGGCCCTCCTGGGGGAATGGGGAAGGAACAAAGTTTGCCTTTGTGGCCTGGCCTGCAGCCCAGCATGCCTGGCCCCGCCTCCTTGGTTCCTCCTTCTAGGGAAGGACTGGGGAGGAGGGGGATGGTGACACCAGCGGTGGAGACACCAGCGGGCCTGGGGGGGGCCTGACCCTGGGACAGGTCCAGACCCATGGAACCCACTGGGAGGAGCAGCAGGTAGGAACCTGGGCCCTGGCCGCCTGATCCCCTCCCTTCCTGCCCAGGCCTGGCCCAAGTGCCCAGGCTTGCTGATTCAGCACCCTTCTGGCTTCCTGGTTCCTGTCTCCCTTTTTATACTCTTGGAGGCCTTCAGCTTAGGAGGAGAGGGAGCTGGCTCCATGGGTGAGCCTGTGGACATCTGGGAGCCCAGGTCTGTAAGCACATTTGAGTCCCAAGCAGCACAGTCTGTGACCTGTGGGGTTGAACCTGGCAACTGCCCTGGCATGCTAGTCTGGCAGGCACAGCAGGTACTGTGGGGCTCCAGCTGCTGAGATTCTCTGGATGCCAACATTCCATCAGCCCTAAGGTTCTTTGGGGCTCAGATTTGATGAGATTTCAAGTCAGGAACTTGGGCTGGTGACTGGCATAGAGTGGTACTTGAAACAGTCACTCATGTTGATGATGATGGTGGTGGTAGTGGTAGTGATGGTGGTGGTGGTGGTGATGATGATGATGATGATGATATGCCAGTGCCTGGGACAATAAGTCTCAGATTCAGAGATTCTCTGTAAAAGTCTAAGATTTGGGCGTCTTCAAATTTGCAGCAAGTGAGTCGAGAACTGTGACCTGACCTGTAGACTACTTCCTAACTTCTACTCGGGCTCTTGGATGGGCCAGACCACAGCCTGCCTCTTCAGGAGCTTGTGGAAGATGGGCTGGCCGACTTGAAGTCAGTCCCTGGCAGCTGCACTGTGCTGTAGGGCAGGACCAGGCCCTTAAGATTTTTTCCTTGTCTGTCCCTCCTCCTCCCTCTTGCCATTCTCTGGACTTTAATCATGGGAGAAAGCAGGAGGTGGGAAAGGAGATGAGGGGGGCCTTTGGACCCTGCACTAAGGGTGGGTGGAGTGTGGGGGTACAGGGGGGTGGAGTGTGGGACCCTGTCTTGGGGTGGGGTTGGAGGGGGTGGGGTGGGGGCAACACTGGCCTTGGAAGCAAAAGACTCCTGCTTGGAACCACCCTATCCTCTGCCTTGCCTGGGTACCACCCACCCACCCACCCACTCAGCCCTGAGTCCTATCCTGTCACCTAGACCACTGAGACCTTGTCAGCTTCCTCCACCCTTGCCCCTCCTTTGCTCTGGCACTCTCTGCCTCTCCCTGTCCTCTCTCTGTGTCTTTTGTCTTACCCTTACTCTGTCTTCCTCTTCCTCTGTCTCTCGCACTCTCTGTCCTTTCCCTTTCTCTGTCTCTCTCCCTCTGCTCCTTCAGTGTCACCTGCCTTCTGCCCACCGGATTCCTCTTCTTTGGGGCCAGAGCCTCTTCCCTCCATGCTCCCTTCCTTCCTGTGAGGGGTCTTTTGGAAGCAGAGTCTCCCCCCCTTCCCCTAAATCTTTCCCTTCTCTTTCATCCCCTTCCCTCTTCCCCTCCTCCCTATCCCTGTGGCGTCTGGTGTGAGGAGGGCTCCCTCCCCCCTTCCCTGCTGTGGTGTCCCAGCGTCTCTCAGTGGCCCAGGGCCCCATGGAGTCACCTGGAACACAGGAGGCCCAGACTGGCTCTTGTCTCTACTGCCCCCTGTTGTCATTGTGTTCTGTATGTGGTTTGAGTGCCGTCCTCTCTTTCTTGACTTTGTGGTTTTTTCTTTTTTTCTTCCTTCCTTCCTTCCTTCCTTCCTTCCTTCCTTCCTTCCTTCCTTCCTTCCTTCCTTCCTTCCTTCCTTCCTTCCTCCTTCCCTCCCTCCCTCCCTGCCTTTTTCCTTCCTTCTCCTCCCTCTCCATCCTTTCCTAACTCCTTCCTTCTTCCCTTCCTCCTTCTCTTCCTTTCTCTCCCTCCTTCCTTTCCTATCTTACCTTCCTCTTCGATTTGTCTCCTCCCTCTCCTCTTCCATCCCCTATCTTCTATTCCTTTCAGCCTTCCCTCTTTCCCTTTCCCTACTCTTACCTCCTGGTCCCCATGGCCCACCCAATCTTTCCCCTCCCTCCCTGTCTCTCTCTGTCTCTTTCTCTCTCTGTCTCTTGCTGTCTCTCAGGTCCACAGCGTCTCATACTCTACACCAGTATTGCTGTCCTACTCAGGTCCTTGACTCCATGAAGCTTACCCCCTCAGGCAGGCTGGCAGAGAGCAGGTAAGAGCTAGACCCATCCTTCCCCCAGTCCCTCCCCCTACCAGAAAAATGTGCAAATATCTTTGCCAGACCCCTCCCCCATGTCCCTTTAGCCCCTGCTGTGACTGTGGAGTGGCTGACTGAATGTCTGAGTGGAGTGCCTGTGAGATTAGGTCAGGAGAGCAAAGAAGACATTCAAAACCTATTTGTAGTTTATCATTCCTTGAAGAACTCCTCTGTTAGAGATCTACACCCCCCCCCCAAATCTGGAGTGGTTGGTCCAAGACTATGTGACATTTGAGCTGTTCTGAGGGATGAATAGGAGTTTGCCAATTGTATATAGACTGGGAAAGGGTGTTTAAGTTGAGGGAATAATCTGCCCACACCTTCTGAGAACATTATTTCCAAGTTAATTAGAAAACATGTTTTATGTTTTCTAATTAGTTTCAACAAAGGAAATACTAACAACAATATCAAAAGGGCTAGACCTTTCCCTTTCCACCCCCCCCCCCTTTGTAAGTTTACAAATACTCCTGTTAAATTGAAATAACAATGAAATTCATGGACTGTGTAGAATGGCTGTCCTCACTGAGAGTATTACTATGAGAGTTCTAGAGGAAAATGTACTGTCATCCGTGCTTTTTATCAGACAACAAGACTAGTTGCATTAAACAAATTGCTTAGTTCACTTAAGAAACTAGAAAAGATGAAGTGGTGCTGTGGCTCAAGTGGTAGAGTGCTAGTCTTGAGCTGAAGAGCTGAGGGACAGCGCTCAGGCCCAGAGTTCAAGCCCCATGACCGACAAAAAAACAAAACAAAACAAAAAAGAAAAAAAAAAGAAACTAGAAAAGAAACAAAAAGAAAACACAATAAACCAATTACTATAGATACACCTAGAAATTAGTGAAATAGAAAGAGAAAGTTTTGATAAATGTGTAGATTTTGAAAAGACCAGCAAACTATGCGGATCATCATCTGGAAGGTATGACAGAAAGGTGAAAAAATGTTAAGTAGACAATCGATTCTGAGGAGATTAAAAAAGAGATAAGAAAATGCTTTGGATACTTTTATACCAATAGAAGTGAAAAGCTAGATAAACTTGACAATTTTCTAGGAAAATATACATTACTAAAATGACCTAGAGCCATGAGCAAGTGGCTCATGCCAATAATACTAGCCACTCAGGAGACAGATTTGAAGATTGCTGTTTGAAGCTAGCCCGAGCAGGAAAGTCCATGAGACTCTTTTTTGGGGGGGGGGGGTGGGAAATCTGGTTGTGGGCCTGAACTCTGGGCCTGGGCACTGTCCCTCAGCTCTTCAGCTCAAGGCTAGCACTCTACCACTTGAGCCACAGCGCCACTTCCAGTTCTTTTTTCCTGCTTATATGGTGCTGAGGAATCGAACCCAGGGCCTCATGGATGAGGCAAATGCTCTACCACTGAGCTACCTTCCCAGCCCCAGTGAGACTCTTATCTACAGTAAACTACTCAGAAAAAGCCCAAAGTGGCTCAAATGGTAGAGTGCTAGCCTTGAGCAAAAACATCTCAGGGGCAGCATCCAGGCCCAGAGATCAAGCCCCAGGACCGGCAAAAAGTAAAAGGTAAAAGAAAAAAAATTACCTAGAGATGGGGCAGAAAACTTGAATCATGGAAAATTTTAGGGAAAAAAAATGGAAAAGGTGATTTTAAAAATGTTCTCAGAAATAATGCCAGGTCCAGTTGATATTCTGAAAAGTTCTATCAAACTGGAAAGATCAGATCATAGGAAAACGTGAATGTATTTCCAGTTCATTATATAAGACCAGTGACTAGCGATACAGTGGTACATACCTACAGTACCAGCTATTTGGGAGGCTGAAATGGGGAGTTCACTTGACTCTTGGAGTACTAGGCTAGCCTGTAAAACAATAAATCAGAGATGTAAGTCAGTGATACAAGTACTGTCCTAGTATATACAAGGCCCTGGGTTTGATCCCCAGCACCTCTAAAACAAACAAAAAACAAAAACCAAGGGATGACATTGATCAAAATGCATTGTAATAATAAACTAACATGTGGATTGAAAACCCTCTGTACAACTACTTAAAGAAAACAGAAATAAAGCCAAGCAACAATAGCTCATGCCTGAAATCATAGTTACATAGGAGGACATCTGAGGATCATGGTTAAAAGCCAGCCCTATCAGGAAAGTCTATGAGACTCAGCTCCAATTAACTACAAAAAAAAAGGCATAAGTGGAGGTGTGACTCAAATGGTAGATCATCAGCCTTGAGGGAAAAAGCTAAGAGACAGCAATCATCCTCTGTGTGTGTGTGTGCGTGTGTGTGTGTGTGTGTGTGTGTGTTTGTGTGTGTGTGTGCGTGTGTGTTTGTGTGTGTGTGTGCGTGTGCGTGTGCATGCATGCACACACACAGGAACAACTCCAGAAAAACACTAAAAAACTAACTATAGCTACATCTCACATATGAATAAAGCAACTAATATTTATTCATTTATTTGTATTAGAAATTGAACTAAGTACTTCATGCACACTAGGCTTAGCTACTTAGCTACTTCCTCACCCCTTTTTACTTTATATTAAAACAAAATTTTTCTAACTTGCCCAGGCTAGTTTAGAACTTATAATCTCTCTGCTTTAGCCCCCTGAGGATGTACAGTTATAGGTGCATGCCACCATGCTTAGTACAGAAAGTTGGGATTTTCCCCAGTAAGGAATTGAACTCAAGTGCTCTACTACTTGAACCACACTTCAGTCTGTATCAAATATTTTAAATACCATTATGAAATGGACTCCCTCAAAGTATTACAAGAATATACCAGCCCAGCACCGATGACCCATGTTTGTAATCATAGCTACTCAGGAGGCTGAAATCTGAGAATTGCAGCTGAAAGCCAGCCCAGGTAGGAAAGTCCATGAGACTCATATCTTCAATTAAGCCCCCCCCCCCCCAAAAGCTAGAATTGGAGCTGTGATTCAAGTGGTAAAGTGCTAGCCTTGAGCAGAAACAAAACAAAACAGCTCAAGGATAGCACACAGGCCCTGAGTTCAAGCGCCAGGAGTAGCACACGCCCGCATATGCACACACACAGAGTCTGTTTTGTAATTTATTTATTTTTTAGTTAAGTTTATAAGGAAAAATTACACTGAAAGTGAGTCATTTCTAGGTTAGAATGACCTGTTATTATCATTTATTACATTAAGAGATTACAGAGAAAAGATCATGTAATCAGCTCAATAAACACTGAAAAAGTGATCCAATAAATTGCAAGCCTGTTCCCTCACTATAATGGAGTAATTTATTGGACAGTAGCAGATAACTAATACAGTAAACTAGGAATCACTGAAACTACCTTAACATGGTAAAGAGGTTGTTTTTTAAAATCAGAAGCAAAGGTAATTATCAAGTACATATCAAGAATTAAATAAGAACTATCATTATCACTGTTATTTCACCAGCTATTTTCTGGAGATTTTAACCAGTGGGACTTCATGTAATGGCATAAATATTAAAAGAGCCAGAATTAGCATTATCTGAAGATGATATTATTCTCTACTTAGATAAACATTATTACAACTAATAAGAAAACCCAATGGGTAGGTACAAAGTAAATAAATATATACCCAAACCGTTAGCTTCCCTGAATACCAATAGTAACTAATTATAGATCAATGTAATAGTGATAGAGAAATTATATAGATTATAAAAGATTAATGTTATAATAATAGATTAATAGCCCATTCTAGGAAAAAATTCTAGACTGGAAGTGATAACCCAGCCTGTGATCCCAGCCACCCTTAAGACAGCGATAAGAAGGTTAGTGGGAAGGGAGGAAAAGAAGGAGGAATGGAGTAAGTAAGTGACAGAACAAGGTTCTAGTGGCTCGTGTTTATAATCCTACCTACTCAGGAGGATGAGATCTGAGGATTGAGGTTCAAAGCCAGCCCAGGCAATAAAGTCTGTGAGATTCTTATCTCCAATGACCACCCATCAAAACCTCTAAAGTGGAGGAGTGGTTCAAATGGTAAGGCACAAGCCTTGAGTGAAAAAGCTAAGGGACAGTGCCTTGAAAGAAAAGAGAGAAAGGATGGCCAGGCGCTGGTGGCTCATGCCTGTGATCCTAGCTACTCAGGAGGCTGAGATCTGAGGATCGAGGTTCAAAGCCAGCCCAGGCAGGAGAGACCGTGAGACTGCTATCTCCAATAAACCAGTAGAAAACTGGAAGTGATGCTGTAGCTCAAGTGGTAGAGTGCTTTCCTTGAGCTGCAGAGCTGAGGGACAGCGCCCAGGCCCAGAGTTCAAGCCCCACAACTGACAAAAAAAAAAAGAAAGAAACGAAAAGAGAGAAAGGAAGAAAGAAAAAAGGAAAGAGAAAGAAAGAAAAGAAAGAGAGAAAGAAAAGAAAGAAAGAAAGAAAGAGGGAAAGGGGGAGAGAAAAAGAGAAAGGAAGGACTATAAATCCCAAGGAATTTATAAGAAATGCCAAATATTTATTTATAGGACTGTAACAATTCATTAAAGCCTTTAAGAAGATTTGAGTACATCGACAATTATATTCTATTCCTAGTTGGGGAAGCTCAATAGTTTTAAAAAGGTGACATTCAGCCAGGCACTTGTGGCTCATGCCTGAAATCCTAGTTACTCAGGAGGCTGAGATCTGAGGATCATGGTTTAAAGCCAGCCTGGGCAGGAAAGTTTGTAGACACTTATCTCCAATTAACCACCAAGAAGCCAGAAGTGGAGCTGTGGCTCAAGGGCTATTTTTGAGCAAAAAAGTTAAGGGACAGCACCCAGACTTTGATTTCAAGTCCCAGGACTAGCATGTGCGTGCACACACACACACACACACACACACACACACACACACACACACACACACACACACACACACACACACACACAAATTGATATTTTCCCCCATTTGTCATGAAATTTTTAGCAGTACTTTATTTGGGAATTGAGCAGTTGCCTTTTAAGGTTCATTTGGAAAAGTAAATGCCTATTAATTACCAAAACGTATTTA